GACTAGCCACGAGTCCACTCGACCAGTTATTCGACGCCTTGTGTGGTCGACTCGAAATACGTTACTTCTCAGCAAAGCCAAAGGATGACTGCAACCTCGAGCCTCTCCCGCAGACAGCACGACGACGTCACATTTAATGCTTAGCATGCACCATCATACCTCTAGCCCCGAAAGTCTTCATGACACATCGGACCACGTCGGCACCACCATGCCCCTAATCAATTCACATTAAATGTTGAGGTGATCTCTCCTCCACTCGCCGACCGACACCTGTAAAGTAGGTGCTGACATAGCTGCCAAGCCATACTTATTTGTCGCCATCCTTTGCTCGGCCGAAGTGACCGTTCTACCCTTTCAGCACCACTATAAATAGATGAACTATTCTCAACATGAAGAACAATTTTTGGAGGGATTTTTCCAAGCTATATCTGATAATTATACCGCACTACACTGAAGAACTCACAGAGTTCTTCATTTTCCCACTCAAGTTTATCAACTGACTTGATCGTCGGAGGAACCACGGAGAAACCAGTCTCCGTCCTCTCACGAGTTGCTACTTGTGCAGGCTAAAGCTACTCAACTCAAAACCAGATATTCGGAGAAGTGAGCAGCCCCCTAATCAACCTCACCCCAACCATATATTTTACTGTTTGATTAGTCATCATCAACAGTTTGGCGCCCACCGTAGAGCTTCTTTCTTTTTCGAGCAAGTATGTCTGGTTCTGAGTATAGGGCTGACTAGTCTCACCCTGAAGGACCACACCAGAGCTACATTACTCAAGCTCAGCTTGAAGAAACATCTCATCAGATCTCTCAATCCCACCAACAGCAACTAGCTACCTTCACCAGCGAGCTCCTCAGCCGGCTTTCACAGCCGCAGCAAGCTACTTCCGCTAACCCCCCTCCCCCCCCTTAAATACCAGCGATTGGAGACTCACCATCCTTCTAGAGTACAGCAAGTAGTCCTGCATTGGACTCCTCATGCTGTTGCCAAACAGTTGAGAGATCAGGTCGAGTATGCGACCTCACCGCCTCATCAGTCGACTCACCCTAAGGAACCTCACCGACGTCTCCTCCCTCATCCTAAAGTCACCGGCGAGAGTCTTGGCCCTGGTCACCCTGGGGACCACACTAGGGGAGAAATCTCTAAGACTCTCCCCCATCACCATGAAAGTACCCTAGAAGTTGGGTGAATAGGGTAATTACTAATCTAATCCGATTACGATGCCAAATTAAAACTTATAAAGCAATTATCCAACAATATGATATAAAATAAAATATGCAAGGATAAGCAAAAGATAATAGACGATGTAAACAACAAGCACAAGATATAAAAAGAAATAGTGCGCAAATAACAATCGCAAACACACGATATGATCACGGAGTTCGGTCAACCCTCGACCTACGTCTCCGCTCCTCGCCTCTAGGAGATCTCCACTAAATCTCAAATACTACACAATAACGGTTTTCAAGTTCCCCGATAACTTTTACAACTCACAAAATATCAATCACACAAGCTACACTTCTTTAAGTGTTGAACTACCCGTATTAACTTCCTCAAGTGTTTGGATTTACAACCTCTCCCTAGGTTTTACAACCAACCCACTCCTCTTGGAATTAACCCCGATCTCTCCCAACCACTCATCTAAGTGTCCTTGTATATTACAACATGTTTAACAATAAGTTCGAATAACGGAATTTGTTCTCTAAACAGATGAGAACAAAATTTATATCTCTCTCAATGAATCACTCTCACAACCCAATTATACATGATGTGAAATACTAAAACTCAAGTGGTTATGTGTGTAAACAATGAGTAAAACAAAATTAAACTCAAATTAATCTAGCATATATATATAT